CTGAAGTTCAGCTTGAGATCTATCACTTACAAACATCCAGGTAAGACCTGATAGCATTTCACGATTCAAGCAATACGGTGCAAAATTGCAGCCGCACTGATATAGCCTCGAACCATCAAGAAACGACCCCCCCCCCGCAAAACCCGGCACACCACAAAAAGGGCAGAAGATCTCACGCAAGTGCATGATATTTGTCAATTAAAAACACGCATTTAGCTTAAATTATTAAAGGTCATAACACCAATTGTTACCTCCAAATACCTTTCTTTTTGTTGTATAAAAGTATAATGCTTTGAACATAATTTACATACCTCCTTTCCTTTTAGAAGTACCCACATATAGAGTTTCTCCATAGCATCTTTCACGTGCCTGCTAGCCAACTTTCTTTCATTGCAATGGGAAGCAATACCAGTAAGAGTTTTTGCACATGGAACCTTGTGTTTTGAAGCTGCTGCAGATAATGCTTCTTGAGCTTCAGGTGATCCAATTGCATCTTTATCAAAGCATACATTGGTCAAACATCTTTTGCGTGTCATTTCTCCCCCATCTGGATTTTGCAACAATTTGAGCTTCAGATACACCTCTTTAGCTTCTAGAGCTGCAGCAAGCATCCGATGCACCAGAATATCCGGATAGCGCCTGAGCGGAGAAGTAAAGTGTGTATATAAAGGAACAGCAAGGGCATAATGACCCCTATCATTTTCATCTTCTACGTCTCCACTGCAGAAGTAAGCTGCCACCTGCATGGGTCTTGAGGCGTAAGACATAAGAATATCTAATAACACAGAATCATCTGTGAGCTCTTGTCTAATGTGCTCCAATGAATTATGGAACTGGCCAGAGGAAGATGTGTCCAATTTCAGACCATGTTTAGAGCAGAAGGACTCGAACTCTCTGAGCTTACGTAGGTTGGGTTCAGGGTGCCTTCGCAACAGTGCACTAGAAGGGTAAGCTCTAGTTATAACTTCAGCAGCTGTCCTGTTAGCCAAAAGCATAAACTCCTCAACAAGGAAGTTCGACTCCTTCCTTCCACTGAGCACACTATCATAAGGTATCCCTTCTTCATCAAATAAGAAAACTATTTTGGGGCTTTCGAGTGATAAAGCACCATCCTCAAACCTTTTTTTCTTCAAGATTTTAGAGATCTCATAAAGGTTCTTGACAGATGTAACTACATCAGACCATTTAAAAAGGCCATGTAACACTGGCCAAGAACGTTCTCCTTTATAAGAACTTGGATCATCAAGCAATCCATCAATAATATCCTGAGCATGCTCATAAGAGAGCTTGCAACAAGATTGAATTATAGTGCGGCCAATCCAGCGCTGACTAACTTCCCCAGTAAGACTGATGTCCCAAAAAATAGAAAATGCAAGTTTGTCCACCCCAGGATTAAGCGAACCCAAATTCTCAGAGAGCAACGGTGGCAACATGGGCAATTTACTTTGCAACAAATACACACTCGTTGACCTCACTCGGGCATTTTCATCTAAAGCCGAGCCTGGTAGAACAAAGTATGAAACATCAGCAATATGGACCCCAACTCTAAAATTACCATCAGACAATCTTTCAACAGAGAGTGCATCATCAAGATCAGTGGCAGAAGCAGGGTCAATTGTAAAAACACAGAAATTTCTGATGTCTCTTCTACTTTGAAGCTCCTCTTTAGGTATTTCCCATGGGATACTTGGAAGACATGATAAGGCCTCTTGAGAGAATTCTGAAGAATCAATTGCATTTTCAAATAAGGTTGCAGCAAGCTGCGGCTCCACTTCTCCACCTCGTCCAAATATGCCAGTGACATGAGCTTCTGGAATATAGTTCTCTTCTGCCCAGTCTGCAATCCGTGCAGCTACTAGGTCCATCTCCAATGTCACATCACCAGCTTCCAATCTTTTCAAAATAAAGTCTGGCAGGCTCTTAAAGGGTACCATCATTTTTGGAAACCGAGGATCATTTGGTGTTAACAGGAGATACTGACAGCTCAAGGCAGTCGATAAATGTCTATTCTTCTTCGAGTCCCTTCTGTAACCTTCTCTACTCCACATCCACTTCTTGACACTGAGAAAACCAGTGATAGTGTCCCGACGAGGTGAACCCTCAAGGATAGCGACAACCCTTCCTGTTGGTCGTTTAGATGGGAATGAATTGACAGTGATGGACAATCTCTCGGTCGCATGCAAAGCATCATTCATTTCACTAGAGCACCCAACTATGGAAGGTTCCGACGCAGTCAAATTATGTCCATTGACACAATCATTCCTAACTGGTACTTTTTCTTCTGGATTTGACACTTCTCTAAAGGATTGGCCATTTCTATTACATACTGCATTTTCTAAGGGGCTAGAGCAATTACCGCAGCTACTGGACTCAAAATCTGCATCTACCTTGTTCTTCCCTTTGCAATTCTCTCTAACAAATTCTGAATTGTCAGCCTCCAGCATGCCATCATCTACCAAAGCGGAATTCTCAACACCAGCTGTATATCCTTTCATTTTAGTCCAAAGAGAAGGAGGATCAACTTCAATAGCAACAATGTCTCCTTCAACCTGCAAGAAAGTGTACAAAAGAAAATGTTATAATGGCACACACTGTAACTAATAAACAAACCGACACCTAAGAAATTAGGCAAGAAATAAAAGATACACCACACTTACGGCTCTGTTTTGAACTGCAGGTCCACTAATAAGAACATCTGCTCGCACACCATCAATTTTGCAATAGGCCTGAGAAGCAGGGGTTATATGATTATGAATCTCATGAAAGCACCAGAAGAACTACAAATTTGATGCATAACCAAAAATGGAGCAGCAAAGAGACCATGGCAAATGTTACTAGAGATTACCTCAAGTCTATTGTGGGCATTGACACGAAACAATGCTTTAAAGATATGACCCCTCTGCAGAACAACAGAAACGTATCATCAAACTCTCATTCAACGACACATTCTTTTAATTACTTCATTTACCAATATACAAGTATTCAAGCACGTTATGAGGCTGACCTCTAGTGCTTTATGAACAGCTTCTGCTGGCCAATGTGAAGCAAAATATTTCCTCTGGGGGTAAGAAGTAATTGGCGGGTCTCCGTATACAATGGGATCTGGGCATGAACCTGAATATATTTGTCCACCAACACCAGGTGACAATGTTAGCTGCACAGGGAGACTTTCGCTCTCCGCTGCCTGTTCATTAAAATGCATCGTAGGCAACGAAGTAAAAGCAATGTTTGATGCTCTAGGCAATGAAAGCTCTTTAGATCCCTCGTGATCAGGAATATCTCCCTTGAAATTCGATTCCCCAAGACAGACAGTCAGCGAACTACTTGCTGTTCCAAGTACAAGCTCAAAGAAGTGAGAGGAAATTAAAAACTACCGACTATTTCAAACCACAATCAAACTTTTATGCAGGATGAGTTCAACTATTTCCCCTACTAGGGAAAAAGACTTAGACAGCACTAAAAGGCAAACATGATAATTAAAAATTTGGTTAAATTAGTTACATCCATTGTCAAAGAAACCAAAGAGGAAGTACAATAGCTTACAATAAACATAAAGTGCAAATATAATTAACATATAAGAGCAAACAAGAAGATACATGCACTTCAACTCTAGCATCAAGTTCTAGTTTTCACCAGACTAATGCGGTCCGATGAGACTAGCTACTCTAAGCACACATGTTATAATATAGTTCCTTTTGTTTTCACAAACCGGAGTGAAGCAAGCATACATGTATTAATATATGCACACGCAGACACACTGATGGCTGAATAGATTTCTTTTTCTTAGGCATTTGATTGTATATTGAGTACAAGCCTGTAAATAAACGATTATGATTAATTCAACTGTGCTTAAAAGTGTTACATTTAATTAATATTATATTTATATATAAATAGAAAGTACAATCACTAGGCAAGAAAACCAAAAATAAAGCAAAAGGTTTCACTAATAAAATCAAGAAATAATATATTTATGTTTGCAATTTCAGGTTCATATCCTAGGGGATGCACTTGGTGAGCACAGTTATCACTGGTAGGATATAATATAGAGGTTCACCGTCATCAAATAGTAGTAATGCCCGGCCAAATCCAATAAAACAATAACAACTGAAAGAACAGAACTAACTAGGAAATCCTACAAAATAAAATCACATAGAACAATACTATAGAAAATTACGTACCTGTAGGAGGAGAGATTTGCTTAGATCGTCTAGATCGACGGTTCTTCTTCTTATCCTTAATCGGAGTATTATTACTGTCAACTACTACAGCTGTCTGATTTTGGGTTTCCACAACCACTTCACCCATATTCTCAAAATTTAAACCCAATAATAAACAAAACAAGCATCTTCCGGTATAAAAATTGGGGGAAGAATAAAAATAAAATGAGAAAAGAAAGCGGGGTGAGGGAGGAATTACTACGGTATTTATATAATATAATGAGTTACTCATGTATTAGCAGGGATAAGGTGGGTTGGGGGGTGAAAGGAACGTGATGATTGGTCGGCGTAGACAAGGGCGCCGACTATTGATTCCTTTGTCTTCTCCTCTTCCCATTTCCTTTTCTTTCTTTTTCATTTCTATTTTCTTTCGTTAGCTCTCTCTTTTTTTAATCTCTTTCTTTTCTTTTTCCTCTTTAGGTAGATATATGTTTTTTTATCTTACTCCTCTCTCTTGCTTTGAGGGAAAGGAAATGAAAGGAGCATTAGGTGGGATGTGAGGACACGTGGGAACTCCTTTTTCTCTTTTTCTTTTCAAAATATTTGGTGCGTTTAGACTAGGCTGTTGATAGGCCGATTCAGTAGTATTTTGAAAACTAGTGAGGTGTTGCCCGTGCCAATAGTGCAATTATTTTCAATAGTATTCAATAAATGATTCTGCAAATTATTTTTTCTCCTACTTCATCAATTCTATAAGAGCCTAAATTGTCCAAGGAAAATGCCATGTTCCTTCGTCCGGTTTGGTATCTTATATCAATCGACAAAGTGAGATAAAAATAAGACTTATTCTAGAGATGTTTCTTCCGTTGCAAGAATGAGAAACCTAGATAGGCAACATTTATGGAGTACAATAAATATTTTCAACCAAGCTGATATTGTAAATGCACGTGTAATGTTATGTACCAGTTGATATATGTGATAATGTAATGAAGAATTGGAAATATACTCTTCTTTTGCTGAGCGTTCCAATAGTTGTTTGTAGTTTTGTTCGTAAATATGCTACACTACAAAAAAATGTTCTTACATCACATACGTAACTTTATTAATTATTTGTCCTTGCCAATCTGATAGTAAGCATGTGATATTCTGTGGCATCACCCGGTCAACGGCAAAAAATTTAAATGATTGATGGATTCTTTGTCAGTTTTTACACATATAACTGAGAGTCCTCTTCTCTGCCAATTATCTTGGCTAAGACATGCTGCCTCGACATCATTCCACACAAACCAGGGCATTTTGGTGTGTTGTTTCTGTCCTCCATGTCATCTTCTAAGGCCACTTGTTGTCCCATTTACTATCGAGCTTTTGGAGAAGATTGTAGCAACTTTTAATAGAGAAGAAGCCACTATTGCTAGTAAGCCCAGTTTGAGAGTCCATCCTGCTGTCATCAAAGAGAGATTGGCTGCAAAAGTGTGAAAGGTGATTGATATCTTGGATTTGCATATCATTAAAGTTTTTCTTAAACTATAGATGTCATTTATAGTTGACAAAACATTCACCAAATATAAGCATTTTTGTTCAGGGTTAAACTACAAAGAGTAGGGAACTCATCCTTCAATATCCATGTTTCAATACAACTATCTGTCCAAAATTTTGTCTTCCTTTTCATCCCCATCTTCAACATGATACTGCTGTATCAGGTTGTTTACCTACACTGCTAAAACACAAAATTGTAGGAAGCTTGTAAATTTTACATAGCACATCCTTCCATAGATTTAACATAAAGTGTACATAAAAGAACGTATAATTTGTCATCAATCAGAAGTAAAGGTTATGCACTAACCATTCATAGAAGGTGATATAATTGATGTACTTGATGCAAAATTTTAAGTAAGGTGCTCTTCAAATTATCACGGTAAAAAGGCAGGACTCTGATCTTGTATTCCTGCAAGGTTGAGAAAGCAAGACTGTTCTCGGCCAAGTTCCCAAAATAGTGAAAAAGATGAATAGAGAGAATGGAGGTATGATTCTTTATTCTCGAGAAAATATAGGTACATTACCAATCACGGTAACAATTAATGCACATTGAATAGCATCAATTCGGTAAGACCATTTTGTTACAAGGCTCTAAGCATATTTCGCATTCATCTTCTCTCAGCTTTGAAGTTGGCAAATTTAGAGTCTCCTTTCATTTTCTTCTGAGAAATTTCAAAGCCATGATTTACAACTTTACTATTGCCCAACTCTATAAGTTAGAATGTAGCTGGTGTAATGATGGAGGTATAACACCTGCAATTTTGTTGTTATCAAGAGCAAAGGTTCAAGCACAATTAAGGTAAAGAATCTGTTCGTAAAATGAGTACGTAAGAAACTAAGTGGATAATAGGAGAATGAGCAACGAACCATAAAAATCGCTAATAGTTGCTCTGCTTCCATGTCAGAATATCTTTGGTTGGTCTCTCATCTGTATGTACCTGCTAAAGGAGAGGGAATATTAAGAAAATAAAAAAAGTAGGTAAAAGTTGCATAAGACTGCTTCCACTACATGTTAAAACTGTACTACTATTGTTGTGTCACTAACAAAGTGCGGAAAAGAAAAATATTGAATATTCTTCAAATCCAGTGTTGCTAATGCACTTGCCTGGAAAGAAGGTTAAAGAATAATTAAAAACTGAAGTAATAGTTGACATGCAAACTATTACATAAAACTCAAACTTGGAATCTGCCAACCAATTTGAAGAACAAAATGCAGAGTAACTGAATCTAGAGAAGACAAATCAAGTGAAGGAGAAATATACAATGAAGAACAAAAGAGTTGCGAATTTCCAGTAGAACAACAAGCAACATGAGAGGAAATGTCAAATTTGATGTATTTCATGCTTTCTTTACAAAACCTATATATATCTCGGTCACACTCAATTAGACGAGGTTCTACAGTAAAAACAAATGCACTATGTATTTGTAACTAAATAAATCCACGGCATCAATTGGCGAACTCCGTTTTTCAAAAGCTAATCAAGGCCAAGTTACATTCACGAAAAATCTTCAAATTCCTTCACAACTTGAACTATCTACCAGATAAGTTATAGTAATTAATTAAAAAGTTACGACATCAATTTGTTTAATCCATGGACATCTGAAATTTTAGCAATTTATAGAACCTTCACGTGAAATATCTAACAATGGCGACTTCTACATGCAAAAAAAAATACACACACAGATATTTACCCTTCAAAGTATGAATCTGTTATTTTAACAAACCAAAATATAGAATAACTTTTCATAATACAAGTTGTAAATTAATCCATGTATTATATTAACCAGCCCATTTTATATCAATAGTAGAAATAAAGAAACTTTTCGCAATAGACAGGAAAACTACCTATCGTCGAAGTTGATATTGATGTACTTCTTAAATACCTAAAAATTAAAGCGTTAAACACTTTAATTCATAATATTAATGAGTACATAAATGACATAGAACGAAGAAGCATTAAAAAATATCAATGAATGACGTACAGTTATGCTCAGAAGCTTCTGAAATAATTTGTATCCTCTGTTTCTCTATTGGTTCTTCCTGGTTGACAGAGAAGAGTGAATACAAATCAACGCTCACCTGATAAACTAAGTAGCTTAGAAAATGGAGTAGAATGATAAATCAAAGTAGCACCAAAAAAGCGAGAACACAGTGAATAGCACGAGCCCAACACTCTGAATAAATATTGCTTGTTAGCATACAGACGGCCAAACTGCTGTGAAAACGCATATACTCTATATTCTTTTCTGTTATGATCGTATAAAATAGACTATCAAGTATAAAGCGAATGGAGTCATATAAAATAGACTCTCAAGTATTAAGTGAATCGAGTGTAAAGAATAGACTAAATAAATTTTAAGATACCATTAAATGATACATCTTTGATGCGGAAGAGGCAATAGTTAGAACCATTCCACGACACTTTTGGGATAAAAATCTGCTTCTGGAGTAACAGCAGAAAGAGATCGCAGTTCTTTCTGAATTTTCCTTCTTTCGTAGCCAAGGGAAGAATTCCTAGGACTAATTGTATTCTGTTTAGTGGATCATTATCATGGTTCTTTCGATTACGAATATAAAAGAAGAAAGGAGTAGCTCAATCAGCAGGTAGCGGGAGAAGAAGAAAGGATCATAATCAACCCAGACTTTGGGAGTCATATTTTTTTGTGCTAACATCTACCAATATCAGTTTTATAAAAAGAAGATAATCTCTCTAAAATGAAATTCGATAGCCAAGAGGAGCTATGGAATTTCGGACAAACTTAAGCACCACGATACTACATAACACGACTCCATGGCTCAAGCAACTCTTGTGGTATTTTTTCTCCGTAGAACGTGTTTGTTGAATTTCTAATTGTAGAAACTCATATATATGGTATACTTTTAGTTAGATCATTGCAAGATTTATGATTATTCTTTGGCATGTGATGTTTGACTTACACATAGGGTACACACATATTGACTCTTCTAATGCATAATCCACATATAAATGGAATTACGATTAGTTGCAAAAAGAAGGAAATGAAAAGGGTAAAGAAATCGAATTCAGAATGAACAAGAGAGATGTGCGCCAAACCTTATAAATGAGGACATGAAAGAGATTTAGATAACTGGGAAGCAAGAATGTGCAAGAACAATCTATTCAACAGAGTAAACACGGAAGCATAGGAGCTAATTCATTGTATGGCAGTTTCATTTGAAGACATGCCTATCCCTTATCTCTTGGAATTGCAGCAGCCCTGTAAACCAGCAAATTAGTTCATTACAAAATGAACTCTGAGCAGACAGAAACAAGAATTAAAATATATCAGCCGCAAAATCATCACCATGTCCAACGTCCAAGGCATGAAAGAAACAACTGCATAAAAGATTTGATACTAATGGCGCTTTTTCACAGGAATAAGGAACTAATTACTTGGATTAACGGTTAAGTTACTATGGAAGTGCAAGCTTTTCTTTTTTAAAGCCTAATCCAAAATATGTAGTTTCAGTCAGATATTATATTCTTTGATGGCACAACTCATCTTTTTGACAATTGATGTGAGAAATCAATATACCATTTGAGGAATATATGATTTTGGTAAAGATTAGCGTGCTAAATGTAAGAGCAACTGGCTAACAATTTGGTAACACAGAGTTCATATATCAATGTATTCATTCAAGAAAGAAAAATTACTGATCACTGGATTTTCTTGTTCTTCACATTAGTATAAAGTTTGTTTCCGCAACAGAACAAATTAAATAAATACCCTTCTAACCGTGTCTAATGGTAATATGTCAGAAATTAAAATTATACAGCGAGAAAGAGGAAAATATAGAGGAACAAATAAACAGCCTTACACAAATTGCAACCAAAGAATGAGACCTGAGAATACAACATACATGAGAAATCTAATAGAAAAACTGATATGAATAATTTTATCAAACACCTAGAGAACAAAATCGATTAACATATTACTCTTTCTCTGTGGGAATTCACTCTCACTCGCTACTCAGGGGAAAACACAAACACCTAGCATATCGCCAAGGACTGAACTAAATCAATACAAGAATACCCAGTAGAAAATGACAATGGACAGAGCGGAGGAGTGAGAGAGCAGAAGCATATCAAGAGAAGAGGTGTTTGCAGAAGAGGTGTTTTCACGTTGAGCTTTTCACGAAGTGTTGAGAGAAATCAAACGATGACTTAACAACTGTCAAAATTGGGCTACACGTGTTGGGCTGCAAACAGAAGCCGTAAGATAATAATGGGCCAGGCAGACATGTTGACCATAAGCTGCCTGGTTATCCCTATTTATAGTATAGGAATAGATGTGGACTTTGTATTTTTACATTCCATACTCTATCAAAATAATTTAATTAATAGCCTGTTTGGCCAAACTTCTCAAGAGGGAAAAAGTATTTTTTTTTTCTCAAAAGCACTTTTTTCCCTAACTTGAGGTGTTTGGCCAAGCTTTTTGGGGGGAAAAAAGTGCTTTTAGGAAGAAGCAGAAAAAAGTAGCTTCTTCCCAAAAGCAGAAGCAGAAGCAGTTTTGACTTTTCTTCTTACCAAAAATACCCTTACAAAATATAGTATATACCAAAATAACCGTTAAACTTAATACTTAGGATATTAATGTATAAATATTTTTTATTATTTTTAGGATAACTTTCTAATATATAGTGACTTTAGGGGTGAATGCTTTTATATTTGTTGAATAATTTTTAATATATTTAACTTATATTAAAAGAATTAAGTACTTTTAAATTTTATTTTCATATTTTACTTAAATAAAATGAAAAAATTTAATTATTTCCTGTAATAATAAAATTTTAAGATTATTTATTTACTTATAATATTAACTATTAAGCAAATCTATTCATGTCCTTATTCGTAATTTGATGCTTAAAAGCACTTTCTGAAAAGTTTGGCCAAACACAAATTATTGCTCAAAAGTATTTTTCAGAGTGATTAGCCAAACACAAACTGCTTCTCTGCAAAAGTACTTTTTTCAAAAGCACTTTTGAAAAAAATACTTCTCAATATAAGCTGTTTTCTTCAGCTTGACCAAACAGGCTATAAATTGATAACGTGCAATTTTTCTCTTTTAGAATTCATTTTTTTCTGTCGGATTATTCGGTTAATAAATACAATAAATAACGATTTCAGATTAGATTACAATTTTATACGACTTTCCTTTTTTAAATGCACGTGAAAGAACATTACTCGAGGGTACGTTGAGGGAAAATGTAATGCTAATATTAATAATGTTTACCCTCAAGAACGGATAACAATTAAATTTGTAAGTGGTTTTAAAGATACGTGGGTTGATTCAATACAAATGATAAACTGCGTTAAATTAAACAGATAAGGGACGTAATAAATTGTCAAACCAATCAAGATGAGTGATCCCGGACTTAGTAACAGCTTAATGAAATGCCTTCCTTCGATCCCGGGCTCACGTTATTGATGAATTGATGAACAAAACTAAGAACTTTGAATAACAGAAAAAATAAGAATATATTGCTTTGATATCAGAGTTACAGTGTACCTAATGAATAATCAGACCCCCTTTATATAGTAGGGGAGTCTTACCCTAAGTGCAATTTCACAAAAGGTAAAATCTTCCGTTTAACTAATCACCAGTTTTCTGCCGATACGTGCCGAGATTCACGCTGTGACATCCGACTGGTCATGGATATCACGACCTTTTGTTGGTCATGCTCGATTATCTGGTAATGCCCTCCGGGAGTTTTGGGATTCGAACTGATCCTGGGGGTCGTGGCCTCGATACTCCCGAAGGCAAACGTTTTGCCCGGACCTCGGCTCGAGGGACTCCTTGCCTTGATTCCGGTCCCTTACAGTCACGTCTCTTCCTCTATTTACTTCATCAAAAATTGAAGCGTCTCATGGATTCGGTTTCACCCGTACACAGATAGTCCCCTCGTTTCTCGGAGAGCAAGTTTACGGAAACGACGAGAAATGATATATGCACTTCGATTCCTTCTTCAATACGTCATGACAGAAATGACAAAGAATCTGAAAAGTCCTGTCAGTCGTGGCATGGACTAGTTGTCGCCCTATCACTCTATCCTTGATTATCATTACAAGACGATGATATTTGCTATGCCAGGTCTACCATGACTTGAGTGGAGAGGTACCTTAGATCGTGTTCCTAGCAGGATTGTCTCATTTCTTAAAGCTCAGCGAATGGTTGAGAAGGGGTGTGATGTGTACCTAGCCTATGTAAGGGATGTTAGAGTTGATACTCCTATCGTCAAATCTGTTCCAGTAGTGAGGGACTATTCAGATGTATTCCCGGCGGATCTTCCAGGCATGCCACCTATTGACTTTGGCATTGATTTGTTACCAGGACCTCAGCCAATTTCTATTCCACCTTATCGGATGGCCCCAGCAGAGTTAAAAAAATTAAAGGAACAGTTATAAGAGTTGCTCGATAAGGGATTCATTCGACCTAGTGTGTCGCCTTGGGGTGTTCCTGTCTTGTTTATGAAGAAGGTTCTATGCGAATGTGTATCGATTATTGCCAGTTGAACAAGGTTACAGTGAAGAACATATATCCATTGTCACGTATTGATGACCTATTTTATCAGCTTCAGGGTGCGAGAGTGTTCTCTAAGATTGGCTTGCTTTCAGGCTATCATCAGTTGAAGATTCGGGCGCCAAATATCCCGAAGACTACTTTCATGACTCGGTATGGTCATTACGAGTTCCTCGTGATGTCTTTTGGGCTGACCAATACCCCAACAACATTCATGCACTTGATGAACAGTGTATTTCAGCCCTATCTTGACTCCTTCATCATTGTGTTTATTGACGACATTCTGGTGTACTCCCGGAATCAGGAGGATCATGAGCAGCGCCTGAGGACTGTGCTTCAGACCTTGAGAGAAAAGAAGTTGTATGCAAAATTTTCGAAGTGTGAATTCCGGCTAGATTTAGTGGCATTTTTGGGTCATGTGGTATTGAGTGAGGGGATCAAGGTAGACCCGAAGAAGATTGAAGCAGTGCAGAGTTGGCCTAGACCATCCTCAGCTACGGAGATCTAGAGTTTTCTTGGCTTGGCGGGGTATTACCGTCGATTTGTAGAGGATTTCTCTTCTATTGTAGCACCTATGACCAGATTGACCTAGAAGGGTGCTCCATTTAGGTAGACCGAGGATTGTGAGGAGAAATTTCAAAAGCTTAAGACTGCTTTGACTACAACCCAGTGTTAGTATTGCCTACCGGTTCGGGGTCCTATACGGTATATTGTGATACGTCGCTCATTGGTCTCGGCACGGTATTGATGCAGGATGGTAGGGTGATTGCCTATGCGTCTAGGCAGCTGAAGGTGCATGAGAAGAACTATCCTGTCCATGACTTGAGTTAGTAGCTATTGTTCATGCCTTAAAGATCTGGCGGCACTATTTGTATAGTGTTCCTTGTGAGGTTTTCACCGATCACCGGTGTCTGCAACATCTGTTTAAACAGAAGGATCTTAACTTGAGGTAGTGGAGATGGTTGGAGTTGCTTAAGGATTATGACATCACCATTCTCTATCATTCCGGGAAGGCCAATGTGGCCGATGCCTTGAGTCGCAAGGCGGAGAGTTTGGACAGTTTAGCATATCTACCAGTAGCAGAAAGGCCTTTTAGCATTGGATGTTCAGGCCTTGGCCAACCAGTTTGTTAGATTTGATGTTTCCGAGCTGAGCCGAGTTTTGGCTTGTGTCGTTTCTCAGTCTTCTCTTTATGATCGTATTAAAGAGCGTTAGTATGACGACCCCTATCTACTTGTCCTTAAGGACACAGTTCAGCACGGTGATGCCAAGGAAGTCACTGTTGTAGATGACGGTGTATTATGGATGCAGGATAGGCTATGTGTGCCTAATGTAGATGGTTTATGTGATTTGATTCTCCAGGAGGCTCACAATTCGCGGTACTCCATTCATCCAGGTGCCGCAAAGATGTATCATGATTTGAGGCAACACTATTGATGGAGGCGGATGAAGAAGGACATAGTGGAATATATAGCTCGTTGCCTAAATTTTCAGCAGGTGAAGTATGAGCATCAACGACCGGATGGATTGCTTGAGAAGTTAGAGATTCCAGAGTGGAAATGGGAGCGGATCACTATGGATTTTGTTATTGGGCTCCCACGGACTCAGAGGAAGTTCGATGCAGTTTGGGTGATTGTGGATAGATTGACAAAGTCAGCTCATTTCTTTCCTGTGGTTACTACTTACTCTTCGGAGCAGCTGGCTCAGGTTTACATCCGCGAGACTGTCAGGCTTCATGGCATACTAGTATCTATCATCTCTGACCGGGGTACGTAGTTTACATCACGGTTCTGGAGAGTCGTACAGCGTGAGTTGGGTACTCGTGTGGAGTTGAGTACAACATTTCACCCTCAGACGGACGGACAATCCGAGCGCACTATTTAGATATTGGAGGATATGCTTCGTGCGTGTGTGATTGATTTTGGGGGTGCTTGGGATAAGTTCTTTCCACTTGCGAGTGTGCCTACAACAACAATTATCAGTCGAGCATTCAGATGGCCCCATATGAGGCTTTGTATGGTAGACGGTGCCGGTCTCCAGTGGGTTGGTTCGAGCCGGGCGAGGCTAGGCTATTGGGTATAGACTTGGTTCAGGATGCCTTGGAAAATGCTAAATTGATTCAGGATTGACTTCGTATAGCCCAGTCCAGGCAGAAGAGTTATGGGGATCGGAAGGTTCACGACTTTGCATTCATGGTTAGGGAGCAGGTCTTGCTCCGGGTTTCGCCCATGAAGGGTGTTATGAGGTTCGGAAAGAAGGGCAAGTTGAGCCCTAGGTATATCGGGCCTTTTGAGATTCTTGAGAGGGTTGGAGAGGTGGCTTACATACTTGCACAACCACCTAGTCTCTCTGCAGTTCATCCAGTATTCCATGTTTCCATGCTCCGGAAGTATCACGGCGATCCGTCTCATGTGTTAGACTTCAGCTCAGTCCAGTTGGACAAAGATCTATCCTATGTTGAGTAGCCGGTGGCCATTTTGGACAGACAGGTTCGAAAGTTGAGATCTAAGAACATTGCTTCTATGAAGGTTCAGTGGAGGGGTCATCCGGTCGAGGAGGCGACTTGGGAGACTGAGCATGATATGCGTAGCCGTTAT